TATTATCAGCCTAGAACATTCTGAATTGTCATTCATAAGAAATAAGCTCATTATTAATAGAAGATTGCTTTTTTTTGTCTTTATGTGACTATTTTCTTAAATTAAAAATAAACTCTTTTTCTGATTGTGAAAGCAGTACATGTTCATCTAATACAAATTGGAAAATAAAGATAAGCAAATAATACAAAATTAAACACACTCATAATCCCTCCACCCAACTATAATGGCTGTAAATGCCCTTTAGTCTTTCAGGACTTTTATGTAGGTTTTTTAAAGTCATAGTGTACCCTCTCTTTCACCTTGCAAACATCTGGTCAGCAGCACTTCACGTCAATACATTTGCCTTTACCACATCCATTTTTATATCCACTTATTAAGGTGAATAATTTTGTTTTTAAACCACATTTGTTTACTCAGAAGTCACAGATCCACAGATAAGGAAACATCTGAAGAGCCCAGGTGTGGCTGTGGAGAGAGGTTGAGTAATTCAAAACAAAGTGCAAAATACAAAAACAATTACAACCAGTTTGACAGTTGTGCGTCTGTTTCCTACGGCCCTTCTACCCACAAGTCTACCGCTGACTTCAAAGAGAAGTCAGTACAGAGGAGGTCCGGAGGATAAGGTGCAAAACCAGAATCAGACCCACGATAAGAGATTAAAGGAAGGTTGATCAAAGACCCAGCATAAAAGTGCTAGCCCGTGACTTGCCTTGGCCCATGGCCGCAAAATATTCATCAGAACATAGAGCTCTCTTTGAAGTGATTGGAAGTGCCCATACCCAGATGAGCTCTCTGGTCAAAGGGAAATTTAAAAGGGGACACAGGAAGGAGTCTGCAAAGTTGCCTCATCCTATCTCTTGTCTGCATATCCCTTGCAAATTGTTCGAATGGTGCTTCTTTGATTTGTTGTCCAGATGTAAATAGTCGAACTGTACTGGGTATGCAGTGAGAATTCAGCCTCAGAGCAGAAGGATCATCTTTGTTCCTTGTGGGAGTTTTGGGCAGTAACAGAAACATGCACGGGGCCACGGGTTTGCACTCGTGAGCACGATAGATCTGTAGTCACCACTCTTGTGTTTTATTCAGAGTGTTTAAAAGGGCATGTGGGCCCAGCTGGTGTGGCTCAGTGGTTGGGCATCGACCCATGCACCAAGCAGTCACCAGTTTGATTCCCGGTCAGGGCACATGCCCAGATTGTGGGCCAAATCCCCAGTGAGGGGCATGTAAGAGGCGGCCAATCGATGTTCTCTCATCTATGCTTCTATCTCTCTCTCCCTCTTGCTTCCTCTCTCTCTAAAAATCAATAAAGAAAAAATAAGTAAACAAAAGGGCATGTGGTATCTCCAAAAAGGCAACAAGACTTTCCAATCACTCATTGCTTGTTCACTGCTTTCCCCACTGGGAGTTTATTGCTCTTTGTGGTGTTAGGACATGAAACACCCATTTCTCCAGAGAGGGGAAGAAAAATACTCCCAAAATGGTGGTAGCCTTGATAACATTCAGGTTCTTTTTTTTTGAAATATTTTTTATTGATTTTTAGACAGCTGAAGGGAGAGGGAAAAAGAGAGAGAACATTGATTGGAGAATAAAAACATTGATCAGCCCTGGCCGGTTTGGCTCAGTAGTTGGAGCGTCGGCCTGCGGTCCGGAGAGACCCGGGTTCGGTTCCCGCTAAGGGCACGTACCTCGGTTGCAGTTTGTTCCCGGCCCTGGTTGGTCGTGAGGGTGGCAGCCACTCGATGTGTCCCTTCACATTGATGTTTCTCTCTCTCTCTCTTCCTCTCTCTCCCTCCCGCTCTATCTGAACAAAAAATGGAAAAATGTCCTCGGGTGAGGATAAAAAAAACAAAAAAAAAACGTTGATCAGTTGCCCCCTGCACACTCCCCACCGGGGATCTAGCCCTGGCATGTGACCTGACTGGGAATCGAACCAGCAACCTTTCAGTGCAAGGGACGATGCCCAGCCAACTGAGCCACACCTGCCAGGGCTCAGGTGAAACTTTAAAAAGTGTTTTAAAAGACAAGAGTTACATAAAATTGCTAAAAACGTATGCTTAGAACATTTTTCGTTAACACTTCCTTCGGGCTCCAATTTGATTTTTCACTTTACCTGATAATCTTCTATGCTTTTAGGATCTTTATTTTCACTTCCCCTGTCATCTATATCTTCATTTCCTTCCAAGTTCAAGGGCATTGCTTTTTCTTGCCACCTCTTCCAGATCAATTTTCTGATCTTTACCTGGGGTTTCAAGTTCCAGTTTTTACTGACACCCTGGGTGAGCCCACATCAGGCTCTGAGAGAGAACCGGGGTATGCATCCCCCCTTTACCAGAAGCCCGGTCCAGGAGAGGAGATAATGGATTTCCCAACAACACATAATGACTGTCATGCCAGCTGATGTGAGCTTTGCAAACACTGTCCTTCATGAAGACGGAGGATTTGGACTCAACCTGCAAATTCCTAAAATTTCTAAATGTGAAAAAAATATAGAATATTTTAGTCAAAGTTGGGGCAACATCGTCAAAGATGTGGAAGCAGAAAACTATAAGGTGCTTCACAGGAGAAACTCGGTATATTCATTTAATTGGGGCAGTTGGCTCATGTGAGAAAGGGAGAGAGACGCTTCACAAGCTATATTAGGGTTAGAATATGCTATGGAATCTGGGTTTTATTATGAATGCAAAAGGATTATATTGAAAACTTACGAGTGGAAAATGGCATGCTGAATAGTTATGGTAGTTTATCTGACTGGCACACAGGATGGGTGGGGAGGAGAGAGGAGGGAAGGACGGAGAGTCTGACAGAGAACAGAGTGGTGGGAACTGGAAGGCTAGATGGACTTGGAGACTGTGACATGAGTCCTGGCACAGGAGCCGGGGAGGAGTGAAAGACGAAGGAGTTACAGGACTCAGATGATTCAGGAATGTCACACAAACGCACTTGCACGTCTTCTTCTGAGCTACTGGATGATGGCAATACAAAGAAGTTAAGTTCATCATCAGAATGGTTATAAAGACAGGCTAGGTATCCACAATGAGAAACCCAAAGTGGCTTCATCTAAGCACGAAAGACTGAGTGAGGCCACGAGCTGTCAGTTGAGAGAAAGAAAAATTTCCTGAAGTTTGGAGTAATGGGAGCTTCAAGGAAGAGATGGGACATAGTGAATTTTGGATAGTGGGGAGAATTTGGAGAGAATGGGAGGAAGTGTTAAAAGGGTAAGGTGGGTGGGGGCAAGGAGAAGCAAAGGCACAGGGTAGGGAAACACAGGTGTTTGTATAAAAATTAAAAGAGGGCCCTGGCCAGTGTTGCTCAGTGGTTAGAGCGTTGGCCCATGTACCAGAGAGTCATGGGTTCTATCCCCAGTCAAGGGCATGTACCTGGGTTGCAGACTCAATCCCTGGTCCCAGTCAGGAAGCACGGAGGAAGGCAACCAATCAATCCAATCGATGTGTCTCTTTCACATCAGTATCTCTCTCTGTCTCTTTCTCTCTCCTACCTCCCCTTTCCACCCTCTCTTAAAATCAATGGAAAAAATATCCTCCAGTGAGGATTAACAATAACAACAAAAAATGCAGAGAGGGAAAAGGGGGAAGGTGGAGACTTTTGATTGGTCTAGTTAAGATTTAGAGGCCAAGTTAAGGAGTTGTCAAGCCACTGACATATTTGAGCAAGGGAGTAGCTGGTGCAAAAGGGCATTTGGGGAAGTTTAATCTGAGAAAGATGTGTGAAATGTATAAATGCAGGGAGATAGTACTAGCAAGGTGAGTAGTTGGGTGACTTGTAGACAAAAGAAAATGAGGATGTAAAGTAGGTTGACACTGATCATGAAGAGTATAGAAGAGAGACAAAGTTGTTACCAATAAGCCGAAGGGCAAGGGAGAAATAGAGTTTTACCCAAGATTTCAAACCTAGGAGGCCGTGAAAACAATTGTCCTGCATATCAAAGTCTGAAGTCCAGGGGGAACTGGTTTGGAGGCAACCCAGAGAGTGGGAACCTGAGATGGCAGCCAAGCCAATAGGTCCATAAGGTGGTGAGAAGTGGGGGCTTGAGGCTCAGCTGGAAAACAGATTCACCGTTGCAAGTTAAAAAATTCCACACAGCGCCCCAATTGTGTGAATTTTTATTTAAATAATTTATTGAGCCAGACCGGGAAGTATTTTCAGAAGCTCATTTGAAACTTACACTCTCCTGATACAGATGAATTCTCAGTTGCTCTCTTGTTTTCCCTGACAAACAGCTCACCTTGTCTGAGGAGGAAGGTGGGGATAGGCGGGGGAAGGTTTTTCTCACTCTTCCAGGTGTAGGGATTGTGGGCACTGGGCTCCTGCACGTCTGATTCTTCCCTGCGGTGGTCATCATTCATGTTTTGCGCATCTTTCTATCTGTAGCACAGGCAGAGTTTTGTACATTGTAAGCACGCAGGGTTGGTTGATTTGCATTTTCATCACAGTTCTCAAAGGTAAAAGAGTGGACATAAGAAAAACTAACAAGCGTACAGCCAATTTTATAATGACTGATTCTACATAAACAAATGCAAATGTGAGATCAAATTTGAATTGCAAAAATTTTGTAAGCAAGGTTCAAGAAGTAATAAATGTAGCTTCAGATCTTTACTAAAATGATAAAACTCATTAACAACCCCTCATCCCTTGGAGTCTGAGAGACATTCAGAAGTCACAGCACCTGGAAGAGTAGGCAGCTGCCGAAATTGTCAGGATGAAGAGTGACCTCGTGTTAACCCCAAGCCCAGGACAACCAAAGCAGACCTATATATGCTTTTTCATCTGAGATAAAAACCAATCAACTATAGTAAAGAAGGGCTATTCATAGATAATATTCATCATTCCACCCTGAACTGACAATTATATGTAAGAGAAAGGAGCATCAGGCCAATTGACGTGCTCATAGAGGGGTTGCAACATAAGTTCCAACTCCCCACCCCCTCCCAAACTACTTCAGAAAGACATCCTTTGTTTTATTTCGTCATTTGGTCTTTCAGCTGCTCGACTTATCCAGAACATGGATACCACCGCTGAGCCTTGTTCGGACTTCTTCAAGTACGCCTGTGGAGGCTGGTTGAAACGCAACGTCATTCCTGAGACCAGCTCCCGTTACAGTAACTTTGACATTTTAAGAGATGAACTAGAAGTCATTTTGAAAGGTTAGTGAAGTTTGTGTCTATGCATCAAAGATTTTTCTCTTAAGCTATTCATTTTTTAATATACAGCTCTTGTTGCACAGGAATAAAGTCAGTAATCCCTCCAAATTTTGTGGACCACCACCTAGTCATGCTGGGGGTGGCAGACACTGAAATGGACATGTTGGCCTCTCTTAGCAATTCCTACTTTCATTTGTAGCTACATAAACAATAAGCCCTATTATCCCTAGAGATGGCATCTTGATGACTTTAAACAGAAGATGAAATTAAGTGATTTCCACTAAATACCACTTCCCTGGTCTTCCCACCCCAACCCTGTGTTGAACTCACTATAAAACATCTAACCCAGCTAAGACACTTCTGGGCATTTGAGAAAGTCATGTCTAGTCCCCTGCTATCCTCCATCCTTTGTTCTCCTCCTCTAGAAGTCACTTTGTAGAAAACAAGTTTTGCTATTTTCTAACATCCTAACATGTAGGACAATTAATTCAATGTATTGGGAGCATGAACAGTGCAATCACACAAAAGGAATTATTTTTCAGCCATCAAGAGCACTATCATATTAGATTCCAAACTCCTCTGTCTTATTTGTTTTCTTTTTAATCTCAATTTAAAATCAAAGTAAATTATCTATGGCAGAACAGTACACATCACTATTCACACACACACACACAAAGATAATCTAGTCAAAAACACTTTCATGTAACTTGGCTAATGAAAATAACTCCCAGTTCTGCACCAGGAATAACGATTAGGTGAGGGGGTTGGTTTTTCCTGTAGGTTTTGGCATGGGAAGGGAGTGAACATACATACAAAGAAGCAAGTTTGTTACTGAACCCGTGTTGAAAATGTTAATTACAGCTGCAAATGAACAATTATATTAATGCATTTTATTAAATGCCTCATTTCAGATGTCCTTCAGGAGCCCAAACCTAAAGATATAGTAGCAGTACAGAAAGCAAAAACATTGTACAGATCTTGTATAAATGAATGTAAGTGCTCCTCATTACATTTCATTAAGAGTGTTCCAAAATATTCATAGACCTCTTACTAAATTTATTTTCGTTGCTTTCAAAGCTGTCATTGATAGCAGAGGTGGAGTACCTCTACTCAATGTGTTACCAGAAATATACGAATGGCCAGTAGCCACAGAGAACTGGGAGCAAACATATGGTAAGGCAGTTTTCCTTCTTAAAAAAAGAATTCCAATGAAATTTACGTTATTATTATATTCTGGTATCGTATTCATGCACTAAAGCTTCTAAAGATGTACTTCACCTTTCATTGCTTCAGGTACTTCTTGGACAGCTGAGAAATCTATTGCACAACTGAATTCTAAATATGCAAAAAAAGTCATTATTAATTTTTTTATTGGCACTGATGATAAAAACTCTACGAACCATATCATTCATGTAAGTTTGTGTGGCTGTCAGCCAAAGTTATCTTTAAATTGTAAGAAAACTTCCACATACATGGTTGTTGTTGATATTTAGAAATAATGCACATTCTCACTTGAATTGCATGGGAAATGTGGGAATAAATTAACACTTTGTCCCTGATATCTGGATTGTCCATTTTGAAAATATTTTCTTAATGCTGGTTTTAGATACTCATCTCTCTTTTCTGCTTCCCTTATTTTAGATACCTCTCCTTACATAAAATAAATAAGAAGTGAAAGACTTTTAGCCCCTTCTATTTAGAAAAAGCACCCAATTTCTCTGTATGTTCATGAGTATTGTCTGCTTTGCATAAAATTGCATGTCTGGAAACCAGAAATTCCTAATTGCTTCCAAAAGGAACATAGAGAAGGAATTTTGAACATGGTTTTGGTTCTCACTAAAGAATGTCTGTACTTTTTTTCTCAATTAAGGTAAAGATTGGCATCAATTAAGATGCCATTTTTTCAAATGGCTTTGCTAGATTTTTAAATTGAATTTACTGGGGTGATATTTGTTAATAAAATTATATAGATTTCAGTGTACAATTCTATAATACATCATCTGTATATTGTATTGTGTGTTCACCACCCCAAGTCAAGTCTCCTTCCATCACCATTTATCCCCCCTTTACCCCCTTCTACCTCCCCTCACTACCCTTTCCCTCTGAATTTTTTTTTTAATGTAAGCCATTCATTTAGGTTTATCTAAGGTGTCACTTAAAATGAGATTTATACTTAACGAGTGTGTTTGGAAAAGATTATATATAAAGCTTTCGTCTGGTCTCCTGTAAAATAAGCTAAACCAACGTTGCAGGTCACAGAATCATATTTATGTCATTATTGCATAAATCTTCATGGTTATTTATTAAAATCATGAAAAACATTGAACCCAGATCTTTTTCCTTGGGCTTCCAAAGCCAGCATCCTGCCTGACCACCATGAGGGCAATATTTTAGGGCGGGTCAGAGGTTAGAGAAGGAGCAGGGCCTTCTTATGTAGATGTGTTCTGGCTCCTTCCTTCCAGTCCTCTGGGTGATGTTTCTGTTATACTGACCCGCCTCTTCCTGCTAGAATTCTCACTTTAATCGGTAAATGGTCTGGTTTGGCCCTGTACCCATCTCTTTTTGTGTGTCAGTTTAGTTGAGCATCAAAGGCATTTCACTTAAAAGATTCCCCTGTACCACGCCTGGTCAGAGTGGCTCAGTAAATTGAGTGTTGTCCCATGGACTGAGAGAGGTCCCCATTCGATTCCCAGTCAGGGCACATGCCCCGGTTGTGGGCTCCATCCCCAGTAAGGGGTGTGCAGGAGGCAGCTGATCGATGTATGTATCTCTCTCACATCGATGTTTCTATCTTTCTCTCCATTCCTCTCTCTCTAAAAACCAATAAAAATATATTTTAATAAGTAAATAAATAAAATAAAGATTCCCCTGTACCCACCGTCTTACTACGCAGTGCATAGGAAGCAATCTCCAGAGCTGCAACTGTGCCCAGGTAGCTGTCACTGGGTCTGAAGGTGGACTAGACACTGTCGAGCGGACCTGAGTTTCCTCTTTCACACGCTCAGTGGTGTCTGCAGAAGTCCAGAGCAGAGTAGCTCTGGAGAGAACCAAGGAAGTGGCTCCTTCATCCCCCTAGGATAGAGGACCTCCAAAAAATCTCTGGCAAGATTCCACTAGCTAAAACATTTTAGAGTTACCATGGAGGTGTCTACCTTTTATCTTTATTCCACCCCAGTTAAGGGTTGGGGCAGAAGAAAATGTCCCCCAAAGGGGCATATTAGAATCTCAAGAAGCAGAATGGCCCATAAATGTGTAATTTAGAAACTCCTCAGGCCTAGGTTCTCACATGTTTTTGTTCACCTGCACCTTCTGTTCTGCATTAAAATCCTTCCCAGTATATTTTCTGATCAAGTTTTCTTTGTTTTTTTCCTCAAATAGCTGCAGCACAGCCTTCCAGATGATCTAACTACCCATCAGTTTAATACTTTGAAGTAGTGTGAAAACCACTTCCTAATTATGTATTCACTCAGTGTGTGATTGTTAACCTTTTAAACAGCAACCACTCTGGGATCTTGTTCGTAAATCGATAGGCATACTTGTACCTTGTCCGACTGTCCTATATCAACTGAATGGTGTATTTTCTTCTTTTGTGTATTTTTTATAGATTGACCAACCTCGACTTGGCCTCCCCTCCAGAGACTATTATGCATGCACTGGAATATATAAAGAGGTAAAAAAAACAACAGAAAACTAACAAAATAAAACTACAGAATCATCTGGTGTAAATTTATAAATAATGAAAAAGACTAAGGCCAACTATATGTTGTTCATGTTCTTCACTCCGGACAAATGCTTAAAATCAGACACAATAGTGATCTCCTTTTGATAGAATGAATATTCTCAGCAGAATGAATGAAGGTATTTTAAGAAACAAGGAAACTCGAAATTCCTTATTTGTGTCTTGATTTTCAGTATTTGTCTATCACCCATTTTGAAAAGTCAACTTTAATGGTTTAATTTCCCTTAAAATTGGATCATTTGAAAAATGAACGCATTAATTATGGGCCAGGGCAATACAAATGAGGACTAAGGAGTGGTCCAGCCGGAGACTCATCAAACTCTGTAGCACCCTTCCAGAGCCTTCTGTTTGACTTTCAGAGGTCTACCTAGGGCAGCGGGTTAGACAAACCTTTGCAGCCCCCTTCAGACTCTAACACTGGTCAGCTAGCCAAAGGGTGCCATACCCCACAGAACTGCTGTATGGTCCGGGGGCTGCTTCTTGTCCCCCAGCCTTACCTCCCACAGGCTGATGTCCATGTGCTCTTGCTTATTGATGTAAAGGAACAACAGAAGACAACTTGGCAATGTGATACATTATTAGATATTTTGGGAAGAGATTGGTTCTACAAACGTTGTCTTCATAATTCTTTTGTAGCTCGGAAGGAAGTTAAGTTTACCTGTGACGATCCTGATGGGTCACAATGTAGTGTTGTGGCTGACATTAGCCCCCAGTTAAAATTATTAGCTAAATATGTTTATGCTGAGCATTTATTTTGTGTAATTAAGTTCAAATAACATGGGATAAATTTACTGTATTTTTTTGAGTGGCTACACAATATTGAAACGAGGGAAAAGATGTATTATAAAAGGCCACAATCAATAGCACAATCATGTGCGCGTGGGATTTGGGTTCCTTGCAGCCTAGTTACTGTGTAGGTTGCAGCTATTGGCTTTAGAAGCTGTCCAGCTGCTTCCTATTGCAGAGCTGAGGGTGATTGAGGAATTTTGGCTCATTATACACTTTCATCATCATCAACTAGGATGTTTTTCATATTTAGAATTGTTTCCTAAAGACATATCAATTTTTCAATCCTAAAAATATGCATACATTTTTGTATCTTAACATTTCTGATATGAAGGTACCTGGCAGTCAGTGTATACATTTGATATGGTAAGGTTTCTTTACTGCTGTTGTTTTTCCAAAAAGCTGTTGTTAAGATGATGGTGTATTTGTACACTGGTACATTCAATGCTATTTCATAACTGAGAGCAGGTTAAAAATTGGCAGGCATAGGCCTGAGTCTGATATAGAGGCATTTTTGTTTAACCTGCAGTTTTTTGTTTGTTTGTTTTAATTTTGATTAGTTTCCAATATTTAAAATGTTGGAAGATTTTAGTTGAGAATTCAGATTTCTTCATAAATTAGTAGAATTGGAAACCCTAGACTTCATCGCCTTGTGGCAGCAGTTAGACCAAGCTTCACTATGTTGCCCCCTTTAGGTAGGTCACTTGTTCTGCAAGTTTGAAGAGTTCTCATCTATATCATTCATTGATTTATGTTGACTTCCTGGTCCTTGAGGCATTAGAGTTTATAAATTAGTTAAGTCCTGGCTAAGCTTTAGTAACAAAGAAACCTGAAAATACTGTAGCTCAAACAAGAGAGAAGTTTATTTCTATTTCCTGTTATAGTCCAAAGGTAGGCAGGAAGCCCAGGCGAGGTAGGAAGCTCTGCTCCATGAGAATGGTCAGGATCACAGCTTTCTTTGATCTTTGACCTTGAATATGTTTTTTATGAGTCTAACTGGCCGAAGTTGATTCATCAGTACCATGTTCACATTTCAGGCCACAGCAAAATAAAGAGGGAAGTTGGTAGACAAGATTTCTTTTTATGAAAGTGATGCAGAAGTTGCATACATTCCGTTGGTTAAAACATTGTCATGTGGCCACAACTAAATTTTAAGGAGGCTGGGAAATGTAGTTGTAATCTGGGTGGTCATGTATGTGCCTTATTAAAATTCAGTTTTGGGGAGAAAGGTTCTGTTCCTAAAAAGAAGAGGGGAATCTTGGCTACCAACAACACTTAGCAATGTCTCCCACAGTTTACATCAACTAGTCTGGGAAATACTCTATTTGTAGTCAAATAACAGAGTAGGGGTCAAATCTAAGATTCGTAATATATTATGTTTATAGAGTTTGTGGGTGAGAAATCTGAGTCATAGAGGCTTGCCCCAGAACACTCAGCAAAACAGTATTAGAAACCCAGGTAGAACTTTTGCCCTTGTCTATGGCTCCTTCCGTTACATTCTAGCTTCGTAAGACTAGTCCTTCATACTAGTAGAGTTCTGTAGATGAGCAAGTGATTTAAAGAACTCAGCAGCACTTACAGCTGGAATTTTGTATGCGCTTCGATCAGGTGTCCTCTGATGATTTGGGTGAGACTAGCAAACACACAGCACCTTGCTGCCTTATATTACTCTGGCTGTTTATCATTGCACTCTCCTGCTAGCCTCAGACGCCAGACCACTTCTCCGCTCTGTGCTCCAAGTTCCACGCAACCTCCTTCCAGTTGGAGGAAGTTGGCACATGAGATGAAATAGAATTGTCATCCTGGAAATGGGTTATTGCTAGAGTAGTTCTGTACCCTGCCTCTCTTTTAAAATCTACTATTTAGGGGAAAGGAGTGAATGCATTTAGCCTTGGGGAAATAAAAATCAATCTTTTTCTTATTCCCCTCATGACATTTGCTACTCTCTCGCTCATTACCACCTGAAATTCCTCACTTAGTTTCCTCTGCATCCACAGCCAGCTTTCAGATATAAGTTAATTTTTGTTTTTCAGCTACCCTGCTATCTCTGAAAGAAGTCAACCCCTTCAAGTATTTTTTCTCTCTCTCTGTGTTTTATTGTTTCACAGAAAAAGATGGTGAAAGGGATAGGATAACAAAATCTAGTGGAGAAGTTATGTGGTGGAGAAATTATATGGCTGGAAGAAGTCCTAATATCGTTGTATCAGTGTATGCTGGTGCTCATTGATTTTCTCACTTGTAAGCTTTAATATATGCTGTTCCCTTTGCCTGAAGCCCTTCACCCCACACGCCACTGCACGGCTCCCTTCCTTTTCTCCTTACCCTTTACATCGAAGTTTACATTTTGATTCCTCATGAAGTCCTTTCTTGGAACTTCTGACTAGGTGAAGATACCTGTGTGTTCCTGTAGGACATGGGTTTCTGTATACTTTTTTACTTAATGTCTTTTTTTCCCCCCGTGGAAAACTGTACGCTTAGTGCCAAAGCTCATTTATCCTTTGCTTTATTCTCAGTACTCAGCTCAGTTTCTGGTCCTTAGTAATTATCAAATAAATCTTGCGGAATCAGTGGATGAATGGTTGAGGGGGAAGATGGCAGGGAAGAGAGAGAGGGGGAAAAAAAAACCCCAGTCTCATTAGGAGTCTGTTCTAGTACTTGCCTTGATTCTTGAGGACGTGTGAGCTCTAGGGCATCCATTGCTAATAGAATACACTTCCTGAGCATCTTGTAAACAAACATTGTATAAATCATATATCATTTTTCTTTTTTCCAATCTCTGCTACAGTCAATTTGCTTGAGATAGTCACATATTCAGTAAGTCTCATAGTTTTTCAGTCCACATTGTTTTATTAAAAATAACCAAGAGCAATTTTGTGTTTTGTTTTGTTTTATTGATTTTAGAGAATGAGGAAGGGAAAGAGACAGAGCAAGAGAGAGAGAAACATCCATCAGTTGCCTCCCATATGCACCCTGACCAGGGATCAAACCCAGACCTGGGTATGTGCCCTGACCTGGAATTGAGCCCCTGACTCTTCAGTGCACAGGAACACACTCTAACCAACTAAACACCGGCCAGGGCACCAAGAGAAGTTTTGAGGTCGTCAACTTTCTTTTACCGACAAACGTGCTGTCTTTGACTAGAGAAGCTTAGCTGCTTTACTTCTAGTCCCTGGTTTTCAAACCATAGTATGGAGTCTGGTTCGCAGATATGCTTCAGGAGCTGGAGATAAGGGAGGGCCGCACCCCTCTTCGATCAAAAGCACCCTAATCATAGATCTCTTTGATTAAAGCATTACCTAGGCTCATTTCCCCAGGTTTGTTTTTTTTAATATTTTTAATATGTTTTTGTTGATATTTTAGAGAGAGAGGAAGGGTATAAGAGAGAGAAACATCGATGTGAGAGAGAAAAATCAATCGACTGCCTCCTGCACGCCCCCTACTGGGGATCAAGCCCACAATTCAGGCATGTGCCCTGATCACATATCCAACCGGGACCTCTCAGTCCCTGGGATGATGCTCAATCCACTGAGCCACACTGGCTGGGCCCCCAGGTTTTTTTTTCTCCCTCCATTTGAGATATGCAGCTCATCCAGGGAATCATCTTCCACAATTCTAAAACTTCACATAAACAATGGAAACAGCACCCACAATTACAAGAAAGCCCATCCCATTTCACAGAAGCATTTTTTGCCTTCTGATACCTTAGGAATGGAATTTCTGTGTTGTGATAGACATTTCTACCAGTAAATTACCTTGTTTCATGATACCAGTAAACAGTGAAAATAGCTAATGTGTTTTTTTCAAGAACTGTATTGCACCTCCTTCTTTTACGTTGAAACCTACTTTACTCTTGTTACAAGGTTTTTCAAACTTATTAGGTGCTTTTATTCTGGCAGGTTTAAATTTTCTATTTTGAGAAATGCGTGTTGCGGTCCTCTGGTTTTTGTTGTAAATTTAAATACCTTCGTCCCTTCTGTGTTCTGTGCTTTACTTCTCACTTAGAGAGAATGCCCTAAGGCAACAGAAACCCAAACACTTATATTCTTATGTTTACATGACACAATCGCATGTTTTCTTTAATAATTAAGGTGACTCGTGCACAGACTTTACGGGCTAAATGGGACATTAGAGGATTTAGTTCGACC